TTCGTTTCGATTTCTTCATTTTCAATTTCTTTAACTTTCATTCATTTTTATTTCCTTTATTTATTCCTAATGAATTAATTTATCTTTAATTAATCTATTTATCCTAAATTTCTTTATTTATGTCTCACTGATTTCTTTTCTCTCGCGTGGAAATGGGGTGTTCTGCTGCCATCTAGTGACTCCCCACCCTGCTCCTCCCGTGGGTTTGCCCTGAGAGCAGCCAGCAGCAGAGTGGGCTTTATTTTCAGTTTTTCCTAATCATTTTCCACCTAATGTGTTGCTTTTCTGCCTTGACAACACCTTTGCAAAGTGTCTGAACGTTACCAGGCCTTTTTGTTTCATCCTTTGGGGTGCTTAAAGTTTCTGAGTCTCACAAGTTTTCCCGTTAAAACCCCCCTTTTCTTTGTAAATTGGGAGAAGCAGCTCATGATTTTTGAAGTTCTTCAGCTCTGGCATCAAAATCTCCCTGGGTACAGAACACTTTAATAACATTATCTTCTCAACAATATCTTTATGGTTGCTGTTGTACAACTGTTTTCCTCCCTGGGAGTTAAAAAAAGCCCCTAAATTAACATTAAAGTCGACTGAAACTGTTTTCAAATACACTTTCCATATCCTGCTTAACCCTGTGCTGCAAAACCTTCGTGCCAAAGAAACTTCTGAGCTGGGGCTTGGTTGATCAAAGGGTTTCATTTCAGACAGAGCAGTTGAAATGCTGACTGGGCTGGAGATAAAGAATTTCTTCGAGTTGCTTTTTCCACCTTTCCATGCATTTTAGGCTGACTTGAGATACCTGTGGGTTGTCCTTAGCAGGTGTGACTGTAGGATGTGGGAACACACCTGAATTAGCTTGAATTTAACAAGCTGAGGCACCAGTTGCAGTATAAAAAGAGGCTCCAGGGAAGGTGTAACATGGAAGAACTGGTGGGTTTAACCCTCCTTTCTGTTGGGTTAAGGGAGATTTGGGTGCATCAATCACCTGTTTGTGTTGTAAATCAAGTGATAAAGGAGGGGTTGGTCCAGGGTAGGTGCCAGCTCTGAGCCTTGCCCTGAAATCAGTGCAGATAAACCGATTTTATGATGAGTTTTCAGTCAGGATGCACTTGCCCTACAAAGATAATTCCTCCTTGTGCAGCTCCAGGAGTTCTTAGTCCTTGTCCCTGCTGCACTCCTGCTTTGTCTGGCTTTTGGGAACCCCTGGAAATGTTCAGTTTCTTATTAAAACTTTTAAATATGGTTAGAAAACAAGTTGTCAGTTAAAACCTTTCTTCTTTGTTAGGGGTTTTTCAGCCACTGGTGCTTCTTTCCCCCTGTCCTTTGAGCTCCTCGGAGGTTTCCTGCCCCGTTCCTGCCCCAGCTCTCCCATTTCAGTTTGCACCTGTTCTCACTCATGTCCTGTGCTCCTGTTGTTCCCCTGCCTGTGACCCTCCTCTTGGCCAAGCAGAAACAACCCATTTCTGGGGGAGTTTTCATCCCCAAACCCAGAAAAAAGCCCGGATCGCTTCCCGTGCACTCAGATTTCCAGGGATTGTTCCGTAGGCGTTCGGTGCCGTAAATCAGAACTGAATTATCAGAGTGATTCCTGTGAAGTGTACATTTTTGTGGTTTGTGCTCTGCTTCCCCCCCGATAGAGAACAAAGCTCCAGGGATTGCTTTTTCTCGTGGTTTGGGCTGGAAGGGGACGATCATTTCCTGTATAATTTCTTAGTCAGACCTTAAATATGTGGGGAAGCTTGTCTGAACTTCTTGTCTGAGCTCCACTCTTACATGTTAACCCTAAAATGCTTGTGCTCCTTAGAGCTCTTGAGAGACCTATTTGTGCCTCTGCACTTCTCCTTTTGCAGGGGCAGGGTCTTGATTTGACTACATCCAGTGCCAGACTTGCCAAATAAACTCTCAGAATTACAGACCTTGTGAAATTAGGACATGCTAAAGAGAGATTAGGTGGTTTCAAGTTGAATTGGGTCTTTTTCTGATTTTACTTGCGATGGAAAAATTGTGTGTTGGCCTGGAGAAAAGTGGGTGATTAACTCTTTGGCTTTTGCTCAATGCCACAATTAGTGGAGATGGTGTAAGAATCTGGATCATACACAAGTACAATATAAAGACCAGTCTGTGTTAGTGTTCAGGATGTGTCTGAATTAAGGAAGGAATAATTCCTTTTTTAATCTGTAGGTAACATGTAATTATCTTCAGATCCTGATGGGAACCTTGGGGATCTGTAATTCTTTAAGTTCTTCTTCCCAGAATTGATATTTCTGGGGAAATGTGCTGCAGAACCTCTCAGAGGTGGTTTAGTGGCTTAGTCTGGTAACAAGTCCACGGCAACATGGAAACCTTGCTCTTGTAGCTTGTGGGCTCTTTGAAAAAAAGTAAGAAAACCAGTAATAAAATAGCAAGAACACCAATGTAACAGTAAGTGTGATGGGGAGTGACTGGGGATGGTTTTAAAGCCACGTGGTCTTTCTTGGCACTTGGAGACCATTCCAGCGGGAAGGTTTGGAAGGGGGAGAAGGGAATAACCAGCTGGTTTGGTGCTTTCCCTGCAGATGGAAGATGGTCACTCCCTTTTCGATTACAGCGTGGGACTGAATGATATTGTCCAGCTCCTGGTCAGACAAAGCCCAGCAGTGGTTCCTGCTGGGAGCAAGGAGAAGGATCCCGAGCTCTCCGACACCGACTCCGGCTGCGGCTCCGGCCAAAGCGACTCGGACAAGAGCTCCCACAACGGGGAGGGAGCCCTGGAACTGGAGGGCCAGCCCAGCACAGCAGCACAGCCCGACTGGAGCCACCCTGTCTTTGGCCTCTATAAGGTGAGTTCATCAAAAACACTAAAATTCCTTAAAATCTCCTCTCGGGTGGGAATTGTTCCCCTGCGGTCGAGGATTCCTGAAAATCCTTTATGCCCCAATTGTGTGGGTAGTTCCTTTTTTTTTTCTATTAAACCCTCCAACAACAAAGACAACAATACCAACAGACCCACAAAGCCATAAAATGCAACACGTCCTAGGTCAAAATATTTCATTTTTTTTTTCATTTTATCCTTTGAACTAAAACTACAATACATTAGTTGATTGTAAAAAAACCAAAAAACAAATAAATACCCAAACCTAAAAAGGCATTCAGAGTGCCTGGTTTGATTTGAAAAATTTTCCCAATATTTTTGCTTGGAGTCACTACATTTGCCAAAGCTGAAACTTTTCTTGAATGAACAAAAGAAAATCTTGAGCAGCTGTTGAGAATCATTTTCCTTGTGTGTTTCAATGGGTTTTATTAGAGATCTAGTGATGTCTTTGCCAGGCTGTGAGCAAGACAGTTTGAAAGTCTGCTACGGACTAAGCAAGAATGGTTTGTGCTTGCTGAGAAGCCTGGTGGTGTAAAATGGATTTATAATCTTTTAAGTTGAACCTGAACAGGCTGGAGGGCTGCACAGGATCAGGAAAGCAAAGGAAATGTTAATTTTTAAGACTATCTGTAAACATCTTGATAGTGGTGAAGTTCCTGAGGTGATGAAAGCTTCGAGTAGGTTTGGAAATGAATGGTTGGTTTGAAAATCCCCTTTGGTGAGCTGCAATCTTTGCTCTGTGTAGATCAATGACTTGGTGGACGCCCGGGACACGGACATGGGAGCGTGGTTTGAAGCCCAGGTTGTGAATGTGACCAGGAAAAAACCTCCCAGGGAAGCAGCTGAGAGTTGCACAGAGCCTGGCCGGCCCACAGCCGTGCCTGAGGAAGATGTGATCTATCATGTCAAATATGACGAGTGAGTTCTCTGCCTTCTTGGCTCAGGAAGTCATTTTGGTCATGATTTTGTTGGGAATTTTAGTGCAGAGAGATCCACAAGGTAAACCAGGGATTGTGTCACTGTCAGGTTGTTTTACAGTTGGAGTTCCAGGGGGCTGGAATGGTGTTTTTTGGGAATATGAAATGCTGTTATCCAAATTAAACGGGGTGCATGAGCAGCAATGTTGGACAGGTTGGTTCTGGCTGTGCCTGTGGGGGAGAAGGAGATTTTATTCTTGATGTTATTCTTGTGTTGCACATCAAAATCGACCTGCCTGGATAAAATCTATTGCTTCTCAAACTGCTGTTGAATGTGATTTTCCTTCTCTGTCCCTCCATCCCTCCCTCCAAGTTATCCAGAGAATGGAGTGGTGCAGATGAGCTCCAGTAACGTTCGGGCCCGGGCACGGACGATTCTCAAGTGGCACCAGCTGGAAGTGGGACAGGTGGTGATGGTCAACTACAACCCTGATGAACCAAAAGAGAGGGGCTTTTGGTATGATGCTGAGATCCTGCAGAAAAGGGAAACAAAAATGACCAGGGAGATCAATGCAAAGATCCTACTCGGGTAAGCAAATCCGTCACGTGGAATAAATTGAATTTCCCCGACTCTTCTTAAGCTTTCACGAGGTCTGAGTGACTCAAGAAATGGTGCAACAGGAGTGCTGGGGAGAGGTGAGAAGTGGCCTGTCCTTTTTGGGTGACTGACTTCTTCATGCTGCAGTTTTGGTTAAGTTCCACTGAGGAACTGGACACTTTAAGGAATCACAGAAGATGCTGTTCCATGGATTTGTTTGATGCTGAGAGGATGTGAAGCCCCATATTCACTACAAAGCATTGTTTATGTGTTAATTATCCATTATGGCTTCACAAAAGCTGCAGTGTAATATTTTCTGGAGGTATGATAATGTAGAATGAACCCTCATTTTATAAAAGTGATGAAAAGTTATTCCAGTTCTCTCCTGGAGTCTTTCAACTTCAGGGAAAAAAAGGATATACTTTTTTAAAGTTTTAGATAATTCCTACAGGGTTACCAGAATATTCCTTTTTTTTTTCCCTCTCACCACAGGGATTTTGACTTTTTAACTATAAAATAAAAGAAGAATCAGTCTGGAATATACTTTTGAGGGGAGGCAGAACAGTCACTAATGATAGTTGGGATGCTCTGAGTGCTTGGAATCTCACTGAGACAAAAGGGGATACCCTCTAATTGCACAAAAATGATTTGATTCTTAACACCAGAGCAGTCTGGTACCTGCACAGCTGTGAACTCCTGCTGTGGGATACTTCCAGAGTCTGATCTCTTTTGCTTTCCTCAACTCCCAGGGAAGCTGGTGACTCCTTGAACGACTGCACAATCATGTTAGTGGATGAAATCTATAAAATTGAGGAGCCAGGCACTGCTTCCCCCATCCCAGCTGGAACACCAAAACGTGAGTCTTGGGGAGTTCTTGCATGTCTGTGTTACCCTGTGGTGTTCTGCTGATTGTCCTTGGGAGGATCAAAGGTCTGAGAGTCTCAGGACACGTTTAGTTGTGCCTCCTTCAACTATTTCCATTGGATCTTGGCCCTTTCTGACTCTGCCTTCTGTTTGCTCACAGGACAGAGTGGCCCTGTGTGTAAAGCCTGCAAGGACAACCCAAACAAGACCTGCAGAGTCTGTGCTTGTCACATCTGTGGAGGGAAACAAGATCCAGACAAGCAGCTCATGTGTGACGAGTGTGACATGGCTTTCCACATCTACTGCCTCAACCCTCCCCTCAGCAGCATCCCAGATGATGAGGACTGGTGAGTTCTGGGGGGATGTGTGTGTGGGATCACAATTACCATCTAATTAGGAGCAGAAAGTGAGATCTGAGGCTTGAAGCTGCCCTTTGGTGGCAATATTGTAACTACACAGGTGTTTTGGGTTTTTTTTTTTTGGTAGGACTTTGTAGCTTTCCTTGAGGTTGTGAGAGAAGGTTTTAAGCCAGTGGCTTGTAACTCCTTTTCCTAGTTTTGGGATCTGGATACCTGTTTTCTATACCTGCCTAAGGCCAGGTTGGGAAGAAACTCCCCCTGGGAGTGTGGGCAGGCCCTGGCACAGGTTGCCCAGAGAAGCTGTGGCTGCCCCATCCCTGGAAGTGTCCAAGGCCAGGTTGGATGAGCTTGGAGCAACCTGGGATGGTGGGAGGTGTCCCTGCCCATGGCAGGGGGTGGAATGAGATGAACTTTAAGGTCCCTTCCAAATCCCAAATGAGAACCTGATACCAGGAGGCTTCACTTGTGCAGTGGCTTTCCTGGGTCACTCCAGGCAGTCCCCAGGCCCCATCATCAGATTAGGCTGTGACAGATGCTGGTTTGTATATGAAATATATACAGTGACAGATACAGATAGTGAAATGCATCTTTCAATACACATATAGATAGTAAAATACACTGTTTTATTCCCTCTGCCCTCTTTCAGCATTATATACAATGATTTTATGACAGAGCTGTTGTCCTGGCACATCAGCAGTGGCTTAGAAGGTGCTGCAAGGACAGCAGCTGATACAGGTCTAATTCCAGTATGGAGAGGTTCCATGTGCTATCTAGTTTCACATGGGAAATTGTAACATAACTCAGTATGTTTTGATGGAATTCTCTTTTAATTCAAGGCTTTGCTGCTTGTTAATTTTCCCTGACTTCAGGTATTGCCCCGAGTGTCGGAACGATGCCAGTGAGGTGGTTTTAGCAGGAGAGAGATTAAAAGAGAGCAAAAAGAAACAAAAGATGGCATCTGCCAACTCATCCTCGAGGAGAGACTGGGGCAAGGTCAGTTCAGAGCTGTTTTACTCTCAGGATCAGTGTGTGTTGCTGTTAAATCCCTTTGGGTTCTTGGCTCACTGGTCTCTCTGACCCAGGGCATGGCGTGTGTCGGCCGCACCAAGGAATGCACCATCGTCCCCTCCAACCACTATGGCCCAATCCCTGGCATTCCCGTTGGCACCATGTGGAAATTCAGAGTTCAGGTATGAAGCTGAGTCCTGAAAAATTGAAAAAAATGGGAATGGTCCAGCTCTTACAAGAAACAGTTAATCTTGGAGTGTGTGCCCCTGGATGGAGGGAAAGAATTCTGGCTTTGTCTGGATCAAGTGTTCCAGAACTAATGTTGTGTTGTCCAGGCCTATCAAGTGCTGGTTTATTTTTCTTTAGTGCTCTTCTTGGTAACTCAAAAAAACCAAAGCAAACATATTTGTTTCCAGGAGTTTGTCCTGGAGTTCTGTAGTATCTCCCACTGTTCCCCTGGAAAGAGTCTCTCAAATATTTACATATATTAAAAAAAAGAAGGTTTCTCATCCTGTTAGAAAGTTGGGGAAATAAAAAGCACTGACCCATGCAGATCTTTTCTTAAGCATTAGGTGAAGGTTGCTGTTACAAGTCTTTCAAAACCAATCTCTTTATACAAATATTTAATATCTATATTACTCCTAAATCCCTGGAGCTTTTTAATAAGCAATCTCAGTAAGATCCACATTTCTAAATTCACATCACAAAACTTACCCACCTGTTCAATTGACTGAAATACTTGATGGCTCATTTATTTTTTAGAAACATTTTTATTTTTCTTTCCTCTACCTGGAGCTTTTTGGAGGATAGTGGTGAGAGCAGATTCAACCCAAATCTGAAACAGTATTTAGTTCAGTTCCAAGGCCAAGGGGTGATCATGTTGTTTGGAGCCTTGCAAACTGTTTCTGGTTTTCCAGGTGAGCGAATCCGGAGTGCACAGGCCCCATGTTGCAGGGATCCATGGCAGAAGCAATGATGGGGCCTATTCTTTGGTCCTGGCAGGAGGCTATGAAGATGACATAGTAAGTAAATTTGGATTATTTATGCCCAGAACCAAACTAACTTGTTAAAACAAAGACTTGGCCTCAGTTACTTTTTACACTCCACATCAGACTCTTGCCCATCTTCACTTAATTTTCTTCAGAAGAAAATCAGGCAAGGAAAAACTACAGTAAAAATGTGCCAACCTGAGCAACAGGATCATCTAAACTAGGTTTAATATCCCTGTGTCAGCTTTTGATCTCAGAATCCTCAGCTGCCTCTTCAGGGTCTCCATTGCACCCACAGTCTGAGCAGAGTCTCATGATCTGTGCTGCCAGATCTTCACCTGCAGGAGATCCTGTGTGAGCCACGTGAGGTCCTTGGCACTGCTCAGGGTGGGACAAGACAACAGTTGTCACCCTGACTCTGCTCTTCTGGCAGTCTCAGGGAAGGACCACAGACTGAACTTGGGAGCTTAAACACAGGAATTATAGAGTCATAGAATCAGCTGGGTTGGAAGGGACCTCTGAGATCATCAATCCAA